TGGCCCTGTCTGTGAGCTGTCAGAGGTCTCACTCCCGGGGCTCTGTCAGGGCGTCCGGGCAATGGAGCACCATGAGGAATAGCTGAAGACCTGCCTCCTACCTTCCCTTGTCCTTTCACATGGGAATCGAGGGTCAGGAACCCCTAAGGCTGCCCACTGCAAGCTGCCTGGACCCCACTGAGACAGCAGGTCCCCACTTCTCTGATGTGTGGGGCCTTTAGTTTACTTATTGAATTTTTAACTTTTATCCCTGGCAGTATATAGGCAGTAGCTTCCAACCTTTTGTAAGTGAAGAATCCCTTTTCATATCAAAACCCTTATTATACCACATATCTCATAGTCGTAATTTTTGGATTCTCTGCTTTAGAAACTCGTAGTGACTAGAAGCTACCATGAGTTGAGTAACTTTTAAATTCAGAAGTTTGTACCATAGCCTCCTGCCCAGCGACAGCACCTGGTGCTAAGCCTGGGCCCCTGGTTGAGATTGCTTTCCTACAGGGTCTTTACATCCTGTGGAAAGCTGAGCTGGCTGGGTCGTGCCTGGCGTCCTGTAGTTGTCCTGTATGGGCTGGTTTCAGCCAGAGGCCATGTCACCCACCCATCTTTTCACCCTGGCCACACCACCCTGGCCCAGGACAGGCTGCAGGGGTGTTACCTGAGCCTCCAGGTGTCTTTTTCTAGGGCACTGGCCACTCTGTTCTGAAGAAAACTGCATGCATCTCACAGAGTTCCCCTCCAGAGAGACGAACCCTGAGTGTGCATCTCCCTAGTGATGAGATGGGGCGACGTGGGAGTGGTAAAGCAGGAAGGCCTTTGAACTTCACTGTCGCCTCGTCCCTCCATCGCAGGCCTCCCCGGCCTTCTCCCCAGCGGGCCCTGCAGGGCAGTGAGTGGACACAGGCTGCCCCGTGCCTGCCCGCCGTCCCTGCCCGGGGTGCTATCCCCCTGCTGTCCTTGCCTGTCCATATCACAGTGTTTCTGTTCTCTTCATCCGAAGGGTCATCCCATTTTCTAACTCCTCCACACCCAAAGCAAACTATTGTAAAATTTAGTTTGATATTTAAAATCAGAGTGATCTGTAGACATAGTTTAAAGATGAAATAATTCCCCAGAAGTAACTTAAATCAGCAGACTCTTTTTTTTTTTTTTTCTTCCCCTATATGTACCTCAGTATTTCCAAAGAGGTCTAAACAATAGATTGCGATTCCTGGCAACCTCCTCCTCCCCCTGCTCTCCAGAGCCCGGTTTTTCATGTTATTCTTTGATTTCAAACCGCGTGGAAGGTGAGGCATGGTGCTCTTTTGCCACATCCCCCCTACACTCTTCTCGTCTCCCTGTTGTCTCTTCTGGTCCGTTTGGCTCCGTCAGTATGCGGTGCTGGGACGGTCCCGTAATGCTGCTCATAGCTGAGCCACGTAGAATACTGTGATAACTGCGATGGTCTCCTAGGGCATTTTGTTTTCTCCTGGAGTTGTTTTTGCAGTTGTTTAAATGCACGTGTCATTATCCTCTCCAAACAGAGTTGTGTGAATCTGCTTTCCAAGGCCTCAGGCGATCTGCAGGTTGGTCTTCGGAAGCCGTTCCCCGTGCGCCTTCGGCCGCGCAGGCAGGCCGGGCTGCTCTGGGGCTCCCTGCACGGCTGCTGTCTCGGAGTCTTTCTTCTCCATTGTCCTGGGAGTGCCCCTTTGCTTTTCTCTTGGATCGCGTGACTTTTCTTTCTGGGTTTATCTCCAGAATTTGATGGAGTACTTTCTGTAGGAAGTCTCCAAAAAGAGGCACACAAAGTGTGTCAACTTTTTGAGACCTTGCGTGTCTGGGAAAATGTCCTCCTTCGACTCTCACGGTTTATAGTTTGTCCGAATATGGATTTCTAAAGTAAAGATAGTTTTCCCTAAAAAATTTGAAGGCTTCCATTGCCTTTAGGCAGAAGGGGGTTGAGAAAGATGCTCTTCTGATTCTTCTTCTTCTTTTTTTTTTTTTTTTTTGAGACAGAGTCTTGCTTTGTCTCCAGGTGCCAGGCTGGAGTGCAGTGGCGCAATCTCAGCTCACTGCAACCTCCGCCTCCTGGGTTCAAGCAATTCTCCTGCGTCAGCCTCCGGAGTAGCTAGGACTACAGGCGCGCGCCACCACGCCCAGCTAATTTTTGTATTTTTTAGTAGAGACAGGGTTTCACCATGTTGGCCAGGATGGTCTCAATCTCTTGACCTCGTAATCCACCCGCTTTGGCCTCCCAAAGTGCTGGGATTACAGGCGTGAGCCACCGTGCCTGGCCCGCTCTTCTGATTCTTGATTCTGTGTATGAAAGAGTACCAGAGCGGATTTTCGGTTTGTTTTTTGTTTTGTCACGTCTGGGCGTTTGTAGGATATTCTCTGTGTCTTTGTTCCAAAGTTCCTTGAAGATCTGTCTTCTTGTGTCTACACTTTGTGTGCAGTGTATCTTGAGGGCCCATGTAAGCTGGAATCTCAGATCCTTCTGGTCTTGGACATGTATTTGAATTAATTCTTTCATTTCTTCCATTTTCCTCTTTTCTCTTTCTAGGATGGCAGTTATTTGGATTTTAGTAACCTGGATTGGTGCTCTGTATTTTTGATCTAATCTACACAGTCTGTAACTGCTGTGTTGTTTTTAGGTTTTGGGATATGTCTTCATTTTGACCTTTTAACCTTTTTATTGGATTTTGTTTCTATTTTCATTTTGAATTTCTTAGGACCTTTTTTAAAAATAGACTTTAGAGCAGTTTTAGGTCCACAGCAAAACTGAATGGAATGTCCAGAGACTTCCTTCATACCCTCTGCTCCACACACCCACAGCCTCTCCCACTACTGGGAATCCTGTACATTTGATACAATTGACGATTGACACATAATATTGACGTTCAAAGTGAGTATTCTTTTCTTAATCGCACGGTATTCTTATTTCATAGATACATCTTTTTACCTCATTTGTATATATTAATTTTAAAAAACTTTTTGTATATCGTTTCTCCTCTACCATTTGTAAATTATTTACTTTTCCTTTTTTCTGCTTGTGTCCAGCTTACCTGGAAAGCAGAGCCTCTGGCAAAACCTTGTGTGCTTCTGTGGTAGGAGGGTGCGCCAGCCTTGGGGAGGGAGGCTGGCAGGAGGGATCCTGGGTACACGGTGAGGCAGGGTGTCTACGGCGGGCAGTGCCTAGCATTGAGTGAAGTCTGTGGCTTCACATGTGGGGCTGGCTTGTGTCACGAGCTCCCAATCCTCCAGACAGTGCTGGGAAGGGGATTTGGGGTGGAGGATGTGTCTCCTATCAGTGCTCAGTTGTGGGGGCACCCCTGAAGCCCATGCCTGCCTTTGGGTCTCTTCTCAGCTCTGCAGGAGCCTCTTTCACTTCTGTTGGAGGTGTTGCTCTGGTAGCTGCTGGCGATGTTGGTAGGATTCATGTGGCAGCTAGCATGTGATCCACCACATCTTTCTGGAAGTAAAGGCATGGCTGTACCTGCTGACCCTGGTCCAGAGACCCGTGTCCCTGCTTCCAGAAAAGAAGTCACCAAGCTGATGGAGCTGGAGAGAGGACCCAGTATGAACTGGGGCCCAGCTCTTCCTGACACTTCCAATTAATCCTCTTGTTTTGGACTCTGTGTTTCCCATTTCCAGAGGTGAACTGTAGGTCTCTTTCCTGAGACTTTCTGGACTTCCACTGAGTATGTCATCAGGCTTCATCTCCACTTTCCAGCTTAGCCTTTAGCTCCTTTGCTGCTAGTTACCCCTTGTCCACTGGCTCTTCTGACTTTTCAGAGATTCTATTCCTGTCGTCCTAGTAAAGCAAAATGTGCGTCTCGTCAGCCATTAAGTGAAGGTCTGGCTTTTCAAGATTCCTTTTCATCATCAGATCATTTCTCTCTTGTTTTTCCCACATCCAGGAACAGCTGCTTCAAACTGAGACCTCTGCCATTTTGTAATAGAGGGGAGTGTGGCAGGGAAGCCCTCTGTCCTGTACAACCTGTTGTTCTAGCCCAGGAGACTGCAGGGTGTGTGGGATGTTCAGGCAAAGGAGTTTGCCATCCAGGCTGGGAGCTGCTGGGCACAGAGTCAGAGGAACCCCTGAGCCACCTTCCCGGGGTTGACTGCAGAGGTGGGTGGAGCCACTGTGTCAGACCGCAGAGAAGCCTCAAATCTGGAGTCTGGAAGGAACGTGGAGTTCTCCCAGTTAGTAACTTGCTCTGGACTTTGGACAAGCAAGTTACTTGCTCTCAGCACTTCGGTTTCTTCCAGAATCTCAGGGTTCGAGTCTGTGCTTCCATCTCATTCTGTGGCTCACGATGTTCTCCCCGTGACATCTCCACTGAGGATGTGCAGTTAGAATTAAAAGCAATAACACCTTCAGTGTTTCTTTTAGTAGCCAGGCCCTGTGTGGTCAGCCTGGACTGTGAGAAAGCCTTGTTACCCTTCGTGTGGTGTTGAACACGCTGCTCTCGGCTGCTCTCAGAACTAGCCTTAACTCTGCTTTTGTTTGATCGAATTAAGCAGATTGCAATTTTGTGGTCATGACCACCTTGGAGCCTCTCCTTTCTGGGGTTGGAGGGCGGGGGTATATCTTCGGTTTCTTCAGCCTCTCTGGTGCCCTTTAGGGGCCTGAGCTGGCCTCAGAGCAGTTGGACTAGAGTAGCTTTTCTGCTATGTGAACCCCAGGCTAAAATGGGGTTTTCCCAGTGCCTTGCCCCTTAGTGGGTGTGAATGCAGTATAGGATATCAGTTTCAGAAGCCGTCCACTGTTGACTGTTAGTTACAGCTGTCTACAACCTCCAGCTTTTCCTACCATGTTCTCGGCTAGAGGGGAGTAGAAAATCTCTTACTGCTTGCTGTGGCCTTGTAAACTGCAGTGAATATCTCCAGACCTTCTGTTTTGCTTCCATCATTGCAGGCTCATGCGTGTATCTTTGTGGGGTGTGTGTGGTGTGTATGTGTGTGTGTGGGGGGTGTGTGGGGGTGTCTCTGTGGTGTGTATGTGGGGTATGTGTGGTGTGGGGTGTGTGTGCGAAGGGATAGCGGATGCTCAGTATGTGTAGGAAGGATCTGTTCTTTTCCCTCGCTGACTCTCAGTTGAAATGGAACGCTACTTTGTCCTCGATGTTCAGTAACGTTACGCCTGTGGCTTCCAGAAAGAGCCTCTCCCTTCCTGGTTCTTGCTCTGACATTTTGGGGACATTTTGGGGAGGGGGTGAGACGACAGTGACCGTGGAAGAGCAGAACTGGCCAGCCCTGCAGGTGGGAGGCTGCTCCTGCTGGCGGCATCTCCGACTTGCCGCGGCCGCGATGTCCCCGGCCCCGCTCTGAATGCGGCGTAGCGGGTAGACATGGAAGGCGTTCGGCATCGTGAGAGTGGCCAGTGTGAGCGTCCTTGCCCATCAGGCGGGGGGGCTGTGGGGGAGGAGAGGAGGCAGTGGAGGGAACAAGGGGTTCTTCAGGGTTGCCATGAGAACCAGGGATCCGGGGATTGGGCAGCAGAGGGCCCCCGCCGGGCGTTGGGGCGTGGCCGCGTCACATGGGTTCGGTCCTGGGATTCCTGTTGTGCTCCAGGACCCGGCACTGCTCCGTCGTCCTCCCGCTTCTCGGGAGCGCCCGATCCCTCGGCGGCTGAGGATTGCGGCCGGGCAGCGGCCGGCTCCGCGGAGGGGCCTCCGGGCACCTGCGCGGTGATGGCGCTGGGAGCCCCCGGGCGCGCTCGGGCGGCGGCGCGGCATCCCACCCTCGCCCGGATGGCGTCCCCGGAGGCGGCGCTGGCCCGCTTTCCGTGCTAGCGCGTTCGCCTGGCTCGCGGCGGCCTCGGGCCCGGGTCGGCTTTCTGCGCCGCAGGCCCCTGTCCGGGGCGGAGCCGTGGAGGAGCAGCGCGCCCGGCTGCCGGCGCTGTCCATGCGGAGCGCTGTCCACGCGCCGGGCACTGCGGGGGCCGGGCCCCGAAGCCCTCCCAGGGCCGGCGGCGCGCACGCAGCGACCCCGTGCGGCGGGTGCCGCCGCCCGCTCTCCAGGTACTCAGGTGGGCTCCGCCGCGGGCGCGGGGCGCGGGGCGCGGGGGGCGGCGGGCGGCGGGCGGCGGAGGGCCTGGCCGCGGCGGACACGGCCGGGGAGGGAGGCCGGGAGGTCTTGCCGCGCGGCGCCGCGTCCGCCTGCCGCGGGCTCGCTGCAGTCCGGATTTCGAGCCTCGTTGCCGCCAGCCATAGGACAGTATTATGTAACCATTTTAAAATCTTAATTGTTTAATATTATGTAACGAGTAGTAACTGTACCCTCGGAAACCCGTGACAGCGACTCGCGGGAACCTCGCCCGCTCCTTCCTCGCCAGGCGCTGGGCAGCGAGTGTGGGAACTGGCTTGGGAAACGAGCGGACCCGGGCACCCGGGCGGCTGCCCCGGCTTTCTCGGAAAACAGACTCCCGGCGCCCGCCGGACTTCGCTGAAACCTGGCTGGCGTATGGTCGCGTACACGAGCCGTGGGCAAGCGCATCTCGTCACGCCGCCTCTTTCTCCTTGAACACCTTCTCTCTGGAAGGGGCATATCAGACAATTAATGCGCATTGAGCGGTGAAGGTGTGGGCATAGGGTTCGCGTTCTTGATGGAGTTCAGAAATTGTGTATACGAACACGTAGGACTTCCGAGCCCTGGATCTTCAGAAAAACAATCGATCACCTGTTCCACACGCCAGTCGCCTCCTTGGTCGGCTGCCATTTGTCTGTTGACGGCACAGCCCCTGCCCGGGTGTTGGGGGCACCTCGTCTGCGGAGCCGGCACACAGGTGGCAGGGGCGGGGGAGGCTGCAGTCTAAACCCGCAAAGCTCTCCTTCCAGCCCGGCGAGGGGAAGCGTGGGTGTCTTTCCTCATTGTTCTTTTTAAGTCTGAAAGGCAGCGACTGCAGGGATTATGACGTGCTGGCGGCCAGGGCCTCGGGTGCTGCCCGGAGTCTCCTGCCTGTCTCTGCTCCTTTGCTGTCAGCATCGGGGGTGGGAGCAGGGGCCATGCATTCTTCCTTTGGCCTGAGTGGGAACAGGGGAGGTGGTGGGCAGGGGCAGAAAGGTTTCTTGGGATTTCCTTTCCCTCTGTCACTCCGGAGAAGAAAGATGATAGAGAACACTTATTTCAGATTGAGGTGCTTGGCAGCCACGCACTAAAGGACGGTGTTTAATTGTAGGGTGGGGTGTGAGTGCGGTGTGATTCGGTCCCCTCCCTCTCCTTGTGCTACCTGCCCTTGTACCTGGACCTGTGTGTGAATCAGGGATGATAGTTACTACCTTGTAGGATTGGGAATAGGTGCACACTAACTGCTGAGGGACACAGTGAATGAAGTTATGATAATTGCACGATTGGGATGAAGGGGGTGAGCGAAGTTCCAGATCGGTAGATTGAAATGTGAGTTATTTTTAGCGTCTGCTAAGGATTTCCATCACCAGTTGCTCCTACAGCCATCATGTAATTACCGCTCCAGAACTGGGCTTCCAGACTTCCAGAGAACACTGCATCTTTTGAATTTCAGAGGTTAGATTCCAAAATTTGCATTTTTAGGCTACGGGCTAAATTCACTGACACTTGAGTTCCCACAAAAGCCAGGCTGCTTCTTGGAGTATGTACTTGCGACTTGTAAAAATGTCTTAGGAAACTCGTTTGGACTTGAATGGTTTTACCTTCCTTTCAGAGTTGGGGGTGGGGGTGGGGGCTGCCTTCTCATAATTCACAGGAGGAAGAATGTGTAGGAGAGACCAGGGTTTTTAAGGTGTGACCTCTGAACCACCTATGTCAGAGCCGATGGGCTCTTGGTGCTTATCCCCAGGCCTCAGCTCTGAGCTGTGAAACTGACTTTCTGGGCTTGGGACCTAGAATTCTTTGTCTTTGTGAGGGCTGCCAGGTGATCCTTACAAGCATAAAGTGTGAGAACTGATGTGGTGTTCTGGGCCTTGTAACCACTGGGGCTTCTGGTGATTCAGTTAGAAAGTTGGCAGCTCCTGTCTGAAGGGTCAAGGGCAGAACGGGGGGTGGGGTGGCCTTGAGTCAGTCTGAGCCCTGTGGACCCTGGGAGGTCTGGGAGCACATGTCAAAAGAGGCCTTTGTGTGGGCCTTTTGTTTCTGTCTTTTCTGTCAGTTGAAAAAATAAGTTGGCACATCTGGTAGTGGGCATGGCCGTGTTGCATCATGTGCAGAGCTGCTGTGATGGACGGTATTTTCTCATATTTCACAAAATTCACTGGTTGGGCATGATCCACAAAGGCCTAACTCCTCCCAAACCCTGGAACCCTTTCCATGACTGTTTATTCTGATTCGTTCAGGAGACGTATTTCCTTCTGTTTTCATGTGGAATGGGCTTTGTTCCTCTCATGGCTGGCAGAGGTTAAATTAAAGGGGCCAGAAAACGCTGAGCTGTGGCTAGGATTGCGGTGGGTGGGGGCAGTAGGCATTTATTGGCCCCATTTGCTTCTTTCTTCCCTTTTTTTTCTCTGCCTCCTTGGTTGGAGGGGTGGTGGGGAGTCCAGGACTATCTCTCCAGGGACATTTCTGGTCTGTGGCGACTTGCCTGCAGGCACCTGGGAGAGTCTGGGCTGAACTCTAGATGCCTCAGGCACAAATCTGATACTAATGAGGGAAGAAAATTCTAAATGTGTAAATGGTACCTGTAAGTCAGCTACAAATAATTCCTTTCCTTTCCTGTGCTGTGTCTGGGAGCCAGCTTCTGCGCGCCGTCAAGGTAGTCCTGGTGGTTTGAGACTGGCAATGTGCCCTTGCCAACAATGGCCGTGCAGTTCTGAGCAGTTGTTCAGCATTAAGTGGGATGAGAATGGCCAGGCGTCCTCTGGGTGGCTTTTGACAAGGGACCCCACCTGTTATTCACTCAACAGGTGTTTGAGGAGCCAGTCTGTCTCCGTCATCTGTTCCTGCCTTGCTTAGATGGAAAATAATGAAATCTGTGTAGGAGAGGAGGGTGAGTCCAGGGATGCCCTGGGTTGACTGAACAATAAAATAGTGATGGTAATATATTTTGTTTATTTATTTTCTTAAAGGGAGCTGACACATTTCAGTTCTGATACAAGTTAAATATTAACAATGTCTGAAAATACCAGTACTTAAACTTTAGTATGCACGTGAATCTCCTGGGGCTGGTGATAAAATGCAGCTTTGAATTCCATCGGTGTGGGGTGGGACCTGAGGTTTTGGGTTTCTGACCAGCTCCCACGCGTTATGCTTGCAGTTAGTCAGTGGCCCATACTTGGTGCAGTAAGGTTTTAATACATTTTCCCCACGTTAGCTTTAATGTCTTTTTCTCTAGAAATTCTCTGAAGAGGACGCTACATGGTAAGAACTATACTTAATCTAAGAATTTTTGTACCAAGAATTTTCTAGTGATTAGCCCTATGTTGTTATAAATGACATTCTGAAATGTGTCCATACTTTATTCCAGTGGCAAATATTTGTAGTGTCCTGCTTTGACATTAGCCTGTGGATTTTTGTTGTTGTAGTTGTTGTTGTTATTGTTTTAGAGATGAAGTTTCACCATGTTGGTCAGGCTGGTCTCAAACTCCTGATCTCAGGTGATCCACTCGCCCCGGCCTCTCAAAGTCGTGGGATTACAGGTGTGAGCCACCGTGCCCGGCAGATTCCTATGGATTTCATTTAGTGGTTTCTCTTTTGTTTATGATGATAGAACACTTAGAAAATTTGAAACCTTTTGAATTTTAAGCAGATTTAGAAGGCCCACCTGCCTTCCTTTTAAGAATGTAGGAATTGGCCGGGCACAGTGGCTCACGCTTGTAATCCCAGCACTTTGGGAGGCCGAGGTGGGTGGATCACGAGGTCAAGAGATAGAGATCATCCTGGTCAACTTGGTGAAACCCCGTCTTTACTAAAATACAAAAATTAGCTGGGCATGGTGACGCGTGCCTGTAATCCCAGCTACTCAGGAGGCTGAGGCAGGAGAATTGCCTGAACCTGGGAGCAGGAAGTTTCGGTGAGCGGTGAGCAGAGATTGTGCCACTGTACTCCAGCCTGGGTAACAAGAGTGAAACTCCATCTCAAAAAAACAAAAAAGAATGTAGGAATTGTATCGGCTTTGAGCTTTTGCACGCTAACAACCCACTTTTTCCGAGGTCCCTGCTCAGTGCCTTCATGTCTCAGCATCACAGCCCGGAACCAGGAAGGCCTCCACACCACAGAGAGAAGCAACGAAGATCTCTCAGTAGGGCTGCTGGCTGGGGCCCTTACCTGTCTTCTGTCAGCATGAGCCTGACCCTACCCTTGGAGGTAGCATTGGGTTGTCCCATTACTCCTGTCAGGGTAGGTGCTATGAAAGCAGCAGCCTTGTTTGTACCTGTGAGTCTGTTCTGTGTATAAGGCTCCACAGTGTGGCTCACCTC